CAGCCCGGCCGCAGGTGTCTCCCACCAGCTCTGATCCTCGGCTTTTTCGCTGGGAGGCAAAACCCGTCCCTCGCTCTTTCCTGCCTCTGCCACGCGCTTCCCACTTGCTCCCGGCAGCAGGGAAGGGATCAGGGAAAATCCAACGCTGTTGGAGGGGCTTGCGACGGGTCGTTCCCTATCCCAGCATCGTGTAAGGAAAGGGAGATGTTGGTCCGGGGAGAGAGAGAAGCTCCATGTGCCTCCTGGCCAAGCTGCAGCCCGGAGGCGAGTTGGGGGTCTCTGGGAGGGCGTCTGCCCTGGGACAGCGGGCAGGGGGCTGGCAGTGGTTTCCCTTTGCTGGGAATTCCTGTGCCCACTTGCTCCGTCTTGTCTTGGGGGATCCACACTCCGACTATTCCTGCTCTGCTTGTAGACTGTTGTAGTCTGGGACACTCGGGATGGTGATTTTTCTGCAGGAGCAGTTTCCTGCTAAGAAAATCCCTCGAGGACAGCCTCTTTTTCTCCCTGTGCTGTCACTGGAAGTGGCTCTTGGCAGGGACACCTCCCCATCAGTTCTGTGGAGCCCAGCCCCATGCTCCTGAACCCCAGATCTCTATCCCTGATGTATCTGGGAGCTGGGACAGAGCGAGATCTGGTGAGGGCAACTGAGGCAGCTGCTGCAGTGTCTCTGCTGGGCTGTGGATGCTCCTTATACCCCCCAGCCGCTCCCTGGAGCAGCCTGGTCCTGGCACCGTGTTTGGGACCATCTTACCCAGATCTTGTCCCTGGCAGTGACCGTGTGGGGGAGAGAAAGCGGGGACAGGGCCATGGAGCATTCCAGGTGCTCTCCAGCCTTTGGCCCTTCTCATTCGAGGGGATTTCTGTGTGTCTGGTGACCCTGGGGGGTTTCTCGGTGCCATCTCCTCAAGCAGGAGCGCCTCTCCCCGTCCCCTGTATGGTGCCCCTTGGCATCATCCCCAGTTAGGGCTAAATCCGCTCACCTGGATTAAGCGGTGGGGATTTAAGGGGTAATGCAGGGGAAGCTGGAGCAGGCTGGAGCCCTTTTTTCCACCATGGGGGCAGGGGAGGTGAAGGCTTCAGTGCCTCCATGGTAGAAGTTTTGGTTTCAGGGCAGTGTGGCATTACCTGGTGTTGGGGGCACAGGCTGCCTGTCCCAAAGCCATGGGGTGTCTGAGGAATCAGGCAGGGACAAAACCTTTGGTGCGATGCCAAGGGATGTTATTTCGGTGCTGCTTGTTGGCAGAGTGTCCTTTCCCTTCCAGACACATCTTTTGACCTGTGCTTCTCCTAAAAACCCCCCAACCTCGGTGTGATCATCCCATCCCACAACGCTGGGTCTGTAGCTCATTTCCTTTGCAGATGCTGGCTGTGGGGAGCTGGAGCTCGTTCCAAGCCTGATCACTTGTGTTCAGGTTTTCTGCAGCTACATGTATGTACTGCATCTTCAGGGAGCATCTCCTGTGCTTCCAGCCGGGATCCAGCCTGGCTCCATTGCATCAGGACAGTGTCTTGTTGGGCCCCTGAGGCTGCCGGAACATGGGGTCTTGCACTGTCAGGGTGCAGCACCCCCATCCTGGCTCTCCCTGAGTCTGTGGGGAGTCATTTAGATGGGTTTCTCTTCAGATGAGTCCCTCAGAGTGGGTGCAAGGTGTGTCCAGGGAAGCAGGCAGCAGAAGAGCCCCTCTGCCTGTAGGAAGTGGTTGGTATGGCTTCTGCTGCACTGCCACGGCATCCCCGCTGCGGGCACCGGGATGTGCTCCAGCTCCGTGCTGTCCATCCTGCCTGTGCCCCATCTGCTCTGGCTGTCGAGCTTTTTCCCTTGCATAATTTCCTCTCCGTATTCCGGGGGCTGTTTCTGGGCTCCTCCATGCTGCTGGAGCCTGTGGATCGCTGCTGCAGCCCCTGTGCCCTGGGACTGTGCTCCGCTTTGACTCTCAGTGACAGACGTGCAGCAGCAATCTCTGGTTGTGGTTTGTCGAGGGCAGATGTGTCACCTTTCTGGCCCACCAGGTGATAACCTCTCTGGGAGTGTGTTTGCTTTACCAGTCACAGCTGATAAGCACTTCTGATAAAAGCCATGGTAGCAAATAACAGGCTTTAAGGAGAGAAGAGCAATGAAATGAGGGAGGTGGTGCCATTGGCAAAGGCTCTGCCCTGGGAAGACACTGTTTTGCTGACCCGGAGGAACAGATCCTAGCCTTCACTGGCCAGAATCTGCAGGAAGTTTCATAAACCTCTGGCTTTTCCATCCCAACTTCCACCCTCTGAGGAGCGGCTCTCCTGTGGAGGGTGCTGTGGGAGGCAGCGGGGAGCGAGTGCTGCTCTTTGGCCTCTCGGCTGCAAGTGCCGGGGAGTTCCTGGCAAGAAACCTCCTTATTTTTTTCTCCACATGACATGGGAAGTCACAGCAATGTTCCTGCTGTCCTTGACTGGCAGAGATACCAACCACTGTGTGCAGGCTGGAACTGAAGGGAATGCCTTTATGGCTCCAAACTACATCTCTTCCATCTTTCCCTCCCCCTTGGGGGCTAACGGGCTTCTCCTTGCAGTGCCAAGTCAATGCATGAAAAAGCAGCTCCCCTGAAGAGCCTTGAGCCCATGCACGGCCGTGAGAAGCTGGAGACATCTCACAAGCAGAGGAGTTTGGATTCCCTCGATGGCAGGTAAGGGGCAGCGGGTTCTGCAGTCGAGTATTTACCCTTTTTCCCTCCTGTTGTGACCTCCTGCAGCGTCCTTGCTGCCTCTGAGCTGCCAAGTGTATCCCACCAGCTCAGAGTGGAAAACAGGGATTCCCCTTTTGTTTTCCCTCTTACATATTGGCAGGGAGGGAAGGAGGGGTTTGGGGAAG